CAGTAATATTGCATTGCTGTTACTTTATCTCTTTTCTTAGCACCTATGAGAGGTATGTCAAAATGCCAACCATTGTCGCCTCTTGGGAATAGTAATACATAATGAAGTGGATTATATGACGGACAAAATTCTGATATTCTTTGTAGACCTCCACTGCGCAACCTAAGAAGGATGTCTCAACTGGATGGTTCCACCTCATGACCATCACCAACCATAATTATAGCTACTTCAGAGGCTGTGAGAGGACCATACCGACTGGGATCTCGTGTTCGATCACTATAAATTAGCATTGAAAATTTGGTGGTCGCGTTTTTCTGAATGAGGTCCCTTATTTGACGAAAATTTTGGATATATGAATTGCATTCATCTAACATATCCTGCAGATTCTTTATAATATCTTCATTCAATTCCCGCATAATATTATGCCGATTTTCACCTTCATATGCAGTATCGTAGACATATAGTTAAGCAAATACAGGCGTGTGATCCGCTGGCAGTAATGATCTGATGCGGTAATAGACTTGGCCATGAATCTGGAAATTAGACACTCCTCGTCCTTGAAATTCATTTATATTAGCTCCAAATGACGTGCACGCTAAGATGTTATTATAGCCCCTAATGTTTTTGCGAAATGAATCAGCATCAGGTCCAGTTAATGTGTACAGATCCAGCAAATATGATGGTGGTTTAGATAAAGGTTGTAAACGAACTTTACCGTGGGCACAGCAAATTGCAAATGTTGGAGATCCACGACTGCTATTGTGATCCTTTTCGCCTATCCAAAATTTGGCATTACAATGAGTGCATACCTGATCCATCCTTCCCAGTTCATGACGTTCTAGTCTTGTTTTCGATTAACTTGAGTCTTAGCTTTTCTAGCTTCTGACCCTATAGTATTGGAAATGGTCTCATTTGAAATGGTAGGCTTATTTGATTCTGGCACGTTACCTATGGATTCAATACTGCTTTTACTTACGATAGGTTTATCCAATTTTGGCGTGTAACCTATAGATTCAACACTACTTTTAATCACAATGGGAGGATCTGGCTCTGTTATGTAATCTAGATGTTCAACAGATTCAATGCTAGTCTCATTTACGGTAGGCTT